CATTTCGGCCGCAAATGTTTTCCGAGAGATCCAATACATCGCATACGGAATGCTTATTATCTCTTTCGTTGTTACTGTCGAGTAGTGTTGAGACCACTCCCGACACAACTCTCGGTATTTGATCCACGTATTGGATCTTCATTACAGACTTCATACGATCCTCGAGTATTCGCGTGAAAAAGTTGTGAAGTTCTGAGCCTTTAAAATATTTCAATATTTCTGACCACTCGGGAGCGTCTGAACCGTAACGACCTTTTCATACAAATATAATCGTAAAAATTAAATAAAATTATTTCAAACTTTTAATGTCTATTTGAGACCTAAATTTGGTTTCAATTTTCCCGATAATATGTTAAGAGCCGTGGATTTGCCGATTCCGTTGGTGCCGACCAAACCCAACACCTGTCCGGGTCTGGGAGTCGGCAATCGATGCAATTTAAACGAGTTTTCTCCGTAACGATGAGTTGTGTCTCGGCTTAGATTTGAGGGCAAATTAATTATATTGATGGCATCGAAGGGACACTTCTTCACACAAATACCACATCCAATGCATAGGCTTTCGCTAATTCTGGCCACAGTATCACTCGGTGTGACTTCAATACACAACTTTCCCATTCGTACGACTGGACACGACTTTTTGCACTCCTGTCGGCACCGATTGGGTCGGCACTTGTCTGCACTCACAATCGCTATTCTCGTCAACTTGTCTTTAGTAGCCATTTGTGTCATCACTTACTTCTATACCAAATAATTAGCCACAGATTCAAACAATTAGTTTTAATAAAAATAGTTTAATTTGACAAACAATTTGAATGAGAATAAGTAGTAAAACAAGTTTATATGAAATACTCTGTAATTCGTGAACTAAACGTTATGCTTATCGGATTGCATACAACTTTCGTAACTATTATTATAACTCGATATAACTTTTTAATCAAATAAAAGTTTTGATTTGAAAGCATAACATTTATTTTTAATTAAAAATTATATGAAAGACGTAAGATTTTTAATATTAACAATACTTGTAATGTACGTCAAAAGTTTGTAAAAGTTTTAAAGTTTTATAGTTATGATGAGATTTTGAAACAAGTGTTTCATTGAAAATATTTGTTTGAATTAAAAATAAATATATTTTTATGATTTTTTATGAAACTATTAAAGAATTATAATTTATAAAATTTAAATACAAATTTGTTTAAAATGTTTTACAATTAATTGTAGTTTAAATTCAATTTATTAAATCAATTAATGATAAACTCTTTGATTCAATTGAAACTACAATTTATTTATGAAAATTGGTGTCAAATGTGTCGACATTTCATTTGTTATAACAATTTCTTTATTTAACTGACTGTTGGGTCGGTCTTAGTGTCAGCTCCGGGAGTGTCTGTGGCCTCGGCTTTGGTGTCCTAAACGCCGCTGTATTGTGAAATGGATTTCACACTTTCTTGTGGTCTGTATTCAAAACTCATGAGTCATGCCATTAGTTCTCTTTGTCGATGTCTGGAGTGATGGCAGCCGTCGAGGGCTGGGGTTTCAACGAATGCCACCACTTAATGGTCGCACGTCTCAGAGCTTAGACTTCGGGTACTTTCATGGGATCCAAAGTAGAGCTGGTATTCAACGAACAGTTGGTTTTGAGTTCATATCCAAAGGCAGCCAAAAGACCAGAAGAATGGCAGTCATGTCCTGTCAAGTGATGTCCGATCAATAGCCACACAATTGAGAGTCTGTGTGAGGGGTTGTCTGTCATTCGCGGCCACTGTTTGTGATGGAAATGGAGGCGAAGGTGAGGGACAGCGAGTGATACCTGCGGTGGGATTGAAGACATGATCTGTTGATTCTGTGACTCACCTCTGAT